TTCACTCTCCAGAGACGACCATGGAGACCCTACCTGGGCTCTCCCACAGCTTCGCACATATGGGCTCTGTGTCCCCTACCACGGAGGAGGCAGAGGTCTTACCCTCCCCAGCGGGCAGCAACTTCTCCAGAGCCCCCCTGCCCAGCAGCCCTGCATCTCTCTGCCACCTGCCAGTGTCTCTCCCAATGGACTTGCTTCCTTCCACTTTGAACCTATTCAGGTCTCTCTATCCTAAATGCAAAACCCCACCTATGCACAAATTTTTGCCTCCCCTAGTGCTTGGGACAGCCAGCCCTTTCTCCCTGCTTGTCCTGGAGTCAGGCAGGAGAGTGCCACCTCCATGCATTGACATCACCACTCTGCTATTCCTGGCTTCTCTCCATGGTCCTGAATGGTGGCTTTGCCACAAATACTGGGGCCCATTCAGTTCTAAGTGTGCTCAACTTCTCTTTGGTCCTTCACTGTCTCTAAATTGGGTTCCAGTCATTTGTGTCCATGAGAATCAACATCTCAACTACTCAGAAGCTTCATTATTTCCTATTTCCAGGTTTTTGGGCAAACTGTTTGCCCCACCATGTTCCACCTCAAGCACCTTATCCTAGCTTTGTGTTCAGGACCCCACTCATGGGCTCCCCTGCCTCAGACACACCAAAGGGCAAAGATCTGTTTCCTTGTGATGAATCAACACTTCAATGCTGCCTATCCCTCCTCACCAATGGCCCAGGGCAGAGAGTGACACACAACAACAGGTGCCCAACATTGGCCAGTGTTCATAAATAAGCTGTACATCTGACTTATCCCATTCTGGAAGTCCTCACAGCTGGTCTCTTCTAAAGACAGGGAAAAGCATAGGCAGAAGGATTCAGGACACATGAGGTCTGGCACCCATGGCCAGTGGAGACCAAACTGGGTGCTGCCCAGCCCAGCAGTAGCACCCTTAGAGGCCTTAGAGGGGTGAGGGTGGTCTAGAAGTACATGGTTGGCCATTGTCAGAGCAGCCAAGGGTCAGAGGAATCAGGAGAGTTGGAGCTTGGGGTCACGGTGCACAATGAGGGAATGCCAGCTCAGCCCATGTTGCACACCAGTGGGTTCCCACTGTGTCTCAGGGAACCTCCTAGCTCCTTGGCTTTTTCTGGGGTCTTGCCCACTAGGACTGCCTTAGGGTCAATGTGACACTTACCTGTCTTTGTTGAGTCGTAAATGGGTGAAGCCATATGAGGCATAGGTGATTATGGAGATCCGCAGATTTATGCTGGGGAGAAGCACATACTTATGAGAAGTCATTAATGCAGTCTCAAAATGAAGCCAGAGAGCAGGCCACACTACTGGGGACACAGCTCCCACCTCAACTTTTCTATTTTTGGACCCACTTTTCAACCCCCAGAACTTCCTGTAACTTCAGTAAAGAATTCTGAGGACTGTGGCCTGGGCAGACTTCCTGGAAGAGTGTGCCCGAATGGCATCCTGATCCATCCTTATACTTACAGCATTCCAACACACACACACACACACACACACACACACACACACACGATCATGAGTACATTGCATCACAAAGCGATAGACACCTTCTCACTTCTGAATGAGGACCTCCCAAATGGCCTCTTCTCTTCTGCAACCTATTTTGGACCTTCCTCCCCCCCTTCCCTCCTTCTAACTCCTCCTCTACCTCCCTTTCTCCTCAAAAAGTTATTCTCCCTTTTGGTAGCCATTCATATATATCCCTCCCTTTCTTCCCCTTGGTTACTGTTTTCTGGTCTGCTGACTCTCATTATCTTTTATCTAAACTATTTTGGTTCTTTTACAACTCATTTTACCACTACTATCCGACTTTTCTTCTTGGAGCACAACTTTGATATTATCACACCCCTGAACAAGAATCATCTGTGGCTTCCTATAGCTCACGGCAGGAAATTCAAGCCCCATGGCCTGGCTTGAGTGACTATGTTTTGGCTCCAAGCTGACCCATCTGGCTTAATCTCCCAACCCCTCCCTGAGTTAACTCTATTCTGTACCCAAACAGACTACTCAGTCCATAAGAAGTCTCCTTGTTCCTGTTACCCTGTCATTTCCATACTTCAAGAAATAGATCAAATTTCCACACCCCCTAGGAAGACATTCTTGATTTTTTTCTGTGAATTCTTAATTTTTCCTTAAGGTTGCCATGTAAGTCCTGTGCTTTTTCTTTTGACCCCTGATACCTTTTAACCAGGTGCTTAATTACTGTGTTACTGGTTTGCCTGTTTCCTAACCTGTTAGGTCCTCAAGGGCAGCCTGTGTCCCCAGCAGTGTGGCCTGACTCTCAGGCAGAAGCCAGTTAAAGCTGTCACGACCTGATGGAATGACTCTAGTCTGTCCTTTTTTCCTGTGTCACAGCACTGCCCTGGGCTCTGTGCTCCTGACCTAAGGGACACTCATGCCCACTAAGCTAAAGAGCTGTGTACTCTACCTGGCAGAGGAAAACACACACCTACTTTGTGAACCTCTTCACCACTTCCTCCACAAATTTGTGAATGTCCTTCCAGGACTCCTTTGCACTTTCTGACCTGAAAAACCAAGACGACATTGAACAGAGGGATTGCATGCCTCCACTGGGTGGACAGCGTTTCTACCTCCCATAGTCCCTTGAGCACTCCCTCCACAGCCCACATAGCTGATGTCTGCTACACCCCCTCAGTGGCCTTAGTGGGTCACCTTGGTGGTGATTCTCATCAGTGTAAGTGGTGGGGAGGATGCCCATGTAGACCTGTGCTTGAAGATGGGGGACTTCTGGTGCAAACCTGGATGGGTGGTCATGAAAATGACTTTGTTAGACAAGAAGGAAGGAGGATGGAAGAGCCCCCAGTGATTCTGATATGTTGTTCTTTTGACTCCCCCACTTACCAACACATCAGTAGGAGCCCTGGCCTCAGCCAGGAAGGATGTGATACTCAGAATATTTTATTTCCCTCTTTCCTGTCAGCCTACAAAGCTGAACCACTCTGGACACAGTATGCCTTTTGCAGCCTCACTGCCATGGAAGGTGTTGGAACAGGCCCAGGACAGTGCTGTTCTAGTGTCATCATGATCCAACCATCAGGGAAAGCCACAGGTACCTCCTATCCTTACTTTCAGTTTCTTACTCCCATTGGCTCCCACTTTACTCCCTGGATGGAGAGTAGGAGTATAAAGAATGTTTGTGTCATGATGACCCCTCTGCCTAGGTGGGAAGTACTTAACTGCGCCCTAGGTGCCAAGGGTTCAAAAAGTCTTTGCAATGCTACATCTCTCTTTGTCTGTACAATTCCAAATTGTGGAGGCTTATTAAATGTTTTGGTCAGGGTTCTGTAGATGGTGAGAGCAAAACACGCTGATGCCAATACCTGGACTCTTTCCTTGGATCTGTGATGTTTCGTGTCTTTCCCATATCATAGGAGTCAGAGAAACCCACAAGGAGGCTCTTCCTTTCGCCTCCAATTATCCCTATATTCATTAACATCCTGAATGTCATGTTTACATGTGTGATTCCCACACATCCAAAAGCATCCTTATCCTCTCTGCCATTCCTTCTGCCTCCTCTAAGATGCTTCTAAAACTGTTGATAGATGATGAGGGAACTAAGAATAGATTATTCTAACCATGTCAGGATGATCATCATGAAGCACATATATATGAAGCACTTTACATGCATGCTTTCCAATTCCAGAACAACTCTGTGATGTCAAAATTATTCCCACTTTACAGATGAGAAAACTGAGGCTCTCATAGGTCAAAGAATTTGGCACAATGGATATGAACTCAGATATAGCTGTAAAAGCCTTGTTCTTGCCATTGGACTTGGGAGACTGGGGTGACACTGCTGTGCCAATAATTGCTGGGAGCATAGCCGTGGACTCCAACAACTTACCCATAATATAGACTTTCTCATGGAAGCTCCATGCTAAAGTACAAGGAAGGCAATTCCTTTCCTAAGTAATTATAACTCTTCCCACTTTTCTTCTCATTATTACTCTCCCCTGTTTTTCCCCAGAATGAGGAAGATCTTCCAAAGAAGATTCACAGGATGAGTCTTCAACCCATCTACCAGCCCTGGGAAAGTTTGTGGTGGTTTTGAAGGAAGGTCTAGCATCTAGAACATGGAAGAATGTGAGTGCTCTTATGTAGTGGGAAAAACCACAAGGATATAAGTGTCTAGGAGAGAGGCAGTATGGAACAGAGCAACCACATAGAGTTACAGCACACAGAGCTCCAATCATATTTTAGCACCCCATACCAAAATGAGAATGGAGAGATGGGGATCACCAGACATTTGGGGGCATCTCTACTGTTGAAGCTTGAGTCCAAAATATCTTAGTGATGTAACTACTCTGGGTGAATGGAAAGAGTGGGCAAGGTCCATGTAGGAGAGCCTACATGAACTATAAGAAAACTAAATTCTCTTCATTCCTAGGCAGAAGTCAATAGAGAATGAGTAAACATCAAACAACAAGAAACAGCATCAGTACTAGCATGTTCTTAGAAACAAAGCTATAATACCAGAAAAAATACCAGAAAAAATCTGGAAGATTTGTAAGTGCCTGTCCCTGGGGAACGAGATGAGAGGAAATGAGAAGTGGTGCAGGAGCCCCAAGTTCTTTATTGTCAAGTTTTCAATGTGTTTAAATTTAAATTTATGGTCAAACATTTCTTCCTAAATGTAAAAAAAGGAATTAGAGGGGTGCCTGGTGCCTCGGTTGAGTGCCCAGCTTCAGCTCAGGTCATGATCTCGCAGTTCGTGAGTTCGAGACTTGTGTTGGGTTCTGTGCTGACAGCTCAGAGCCTGGAGCCTGCTTAGAATTCCATGTCTCCCTCTCTCTCTGTCCCTCCCCTACCCACTCTCTGTTTCTGTCTCTGTCAAAAATAAGCATTAAAAAAAAGACGATTTCTGCATTAGCTTTGTAGGAGCTTCAGAAAACAATGAAAAGTTTATCACAGTAAAGTGAATGTGCAATCAAGAAACATCCATCTTCAAAAATAGAGAGGTTAAGATGGTGGTGAATTAGGGGGACCCTGGGCTTTCCTTGTCCCTCAAACACAGCTGTATTGAGGTCAGATCACTCGGAACACCTAGGAAATCAATCTGTGGACTGGCAGGAGGACATCCATGGTTGGAAGGAGACAATGAGGCAGGTTTGAGGTGCATGGAAGTGAACTAGGGGAGAGAAAATTGTGGTGCTGTAGAGGGGAGGGAACACTTTCTTCAGGGAGACAAAAGGGAGAGAAAGGGAGAGGGGTTGAGAAAGTGCAGCGTCAGGTATGCAGAAGAGGAAAACATCTCCCAACCACGGACTGGGGAAGGAGAAGTACCGAGTGTTGCACGTTTTTGCAAACAGAATGTGGAGCTCAAACTCTGAGGTTTTGGAAGTGTTTGACTTTCCCCAGAGTGGAGCTGTGGTATGCACTCCTGGGGATAAGGAAGGAGCTGGCCTCAGAGTGCATAGCATGGTATAGGGATTGTCAGGGCACATTGGGAGAGAATAGTCCCCTTCCTGGAGTACTTTTGGAAGAGGGAATATTGCCTCTCCAAAGACAAAAGACCCTATAGGTGCCAGCAAAAGGTCTTTCATCAGCAGGGGACAAAGGTGTGCCCAGAGGGAATATAACCTTTGCTACTTTTGGTGGTGTTACACCATAGGTTCTGCACACTGTGCAGACTTGAGATTGTTTTTCTAGAATAAAGGACATCAGACAAAGCGTAGAGAGGCTCCATTCTGGAGGAGGGGGCAGGTATACATGGTGCCGGGTCCTGTAAGATTTTCAGTTTTGAATCCCAGGCACATGCCAAAGAAAAAATGCAGGAGAGCTGTGGCGCAGGGCAAGCCACAGTGTCCTCACTGCACCCTCACTATTCTGTGAAGGCTGCCTGAACAACAGAGCTCTGATATCCCCTGTCTGGGGATGAGATATTGGGGTGGCACCATATTCCTCATATTCCTTCTTACGCCAAGCACTGTCCCCCTTTGCCTGGGTACTGCTTATTTACTGGGGCAAGACTGACTCTGAACGAATGGAATGGGCCTCTCCTCCAGGAGACCAGCACAGCCAGGTCCCTGCCCACACCAAGCGTACTGAAAATCAAGTGCTTCTAAATGACACCTGCAATTCTGGTGGAAATAGAACCAGGCCTACTTTTTTTCTTTCTTCTTTTTTTTCTTTTGAAATCAGGCTCAAAGTTTTTTGTTTGTTTTCATTTCCTTCTCTCTCTCTCTCTCTCTCTCTGATCAGAATTCTTCTGTTATTTTCTTTTTCTTTCCTTTTCTTTGGGATCAGGCTTATAGTTTTTTGATTGTCCGTTTTTTTTTCATTCCTTTTCATTTTCTCTTTTTTGGAATCATGATTTCCCCCTTGTTTCCAGGTTTATTTTAACAAACTAATCTAAGCATATCTAGACAAAGGTCCAGACACTCCACCACTGCAAGCAAGGAGGAGATCTGCAGAGGACTGACTAGTGGAAAGAGCAGCCAAAATGCAATAGCAGAGTGCACACAGCCTATACCAGAAACACTTCCTGAAGTGTCAGGCTCTGAACAGTGTGTGACCCCTTTTTAATAGAGCAGTACTCTCGGGTACAGGAAACATAACAAGCTTTGAAAACATGCAAAGGACAGAAACTTAGCCAAAATGACAAGATGGAAGTATTCCCCTCAAAAGAAAGGTCAAGAAGAAATCACAGCCAGGGATTTACTCAAAACAGATATAACCAATATATCTGAGTAAGAAGTTTGAACAACAGTCATAATACTACTAACTGGGCTTGAAAAAAGCATAGAAGACACCAGAGAAACCCTTGCTATAGAGATCAAAGACCTAAGAACTAGTCAGGATGAAATAAAAAAGGCTATAACTGAGATGCAAAACCAACTGGATATAGTCAAAACGAGGACTGAAGTAGCAGAGGAGAGAATAGGTGATATAGAAGATAAAATTATGGAAAATAATAAAGCTGAAAGGAAGAGGGAAAGAAAACTATTAGATCATGAGAGGAGACTTAGGGAATTTAGTGATTCCATAAAATGAAACAACATTCATATCATAGGAGTCCCAGAAGAAGAGAAGCAGGAAAAAAGGGCAGAAGGTTTATTTGAACAAATTTTGGCTGAGAACTTCCCTAATCTGGGGAAGGAAACAGGCATCCAAGATCAAGAGGCACAGGGAACTCCCATTAAAATGAATAAGAACAGATAAACACCATGACATATCAATTTTAAACTTGCAAACTACAAAGATAAAGAGAGAATTTTTTTAAAAAAAGCTTTTATTTATCTATTTTGAAAGAGAGAGAGTAGGGTAGGGGCAGAGAGAGAGGGAGGGGAGAATCCCAAGCAGGCTCCATGCTGTCAGTGCAGAACCCAAAGCAGGGCTTGAATTCACAAACCATGAGATCATGACCTGAGCTGAAATCAAGAGTCAGATGCTTAACCGGCTGAATCGCCCAAGTGCCCCAAGAGAGAATTCTGAAAGCAGCTAGGACACATGTCCTTAACCTACAAAGGTAGTCACATAAAGTTAGCAGCAGACCTGTCTACTAAAACTTGGCTGGTCAGAAGGGAGTGGCAGGAAATATTCAATGTGTTGAATTGGAAAAATACACAGCCAAGAATTCTTTATCCAGCAAGGCTGTCATGCAGAATAGAAGGAAAGATAAAGAGTTTCCCAAACAAAAACTGAAGGAGTTTGTGACCACTAAACCAACCCTGCAAGAAATTTTAAGGGGGACTCTTTGAGTGGAGACAAACAAACAAAAGAACCCAAAGTGACAAAGACTAGAAAGGACCAGAGAACATCACCAGAAACACCAACTCTACAGGTAACACAATGGCACTAAATTCATATCTTTCAATAATCATTCTAAATGTAAATGGACTAAATGCTCCAATAAAAACATAGGATATCATCAGGGAAATACAAGTCAAAACCACACTGAGATAACACCTCACACTGGTAAGAGTGGCTAAAATTAAGAACTCAGGAAACAACAGATACTGGCTTGGATGTGGAGAAACCGGAACCTTCTTGCACTGTTTGTTGGTGGGAATGCAACCTGGTGCAGCTGCTCTAGACAACAGTGTGGAGGTCCCTCAAAACATTAAAAATAGAACTACCCTATGATCCAGAAATAGAACTACTAGGAATTTATTCAAAGGATACAGGGGTGCTGATGCATAGGGGCACATGTACCCCAATGTTTATAGCAGTGCTTTCAACAATAGCCAAATTATGGAAAGAGCCTAAATGTCCATCAACTGATAAATGGATAAAGAAGATATGGTTTATATATACAATGGAATACTACTTGGAAATGAGAAAGGATGAAATCATGCCATTTGCAACAACATGGATGGAATTGGAAGGTATTATGCTAAGTGAAATAAGTCAGTCAGAGAAAGACAGATATCATATATTTTCACTCATATGTGGATCTTGAGAAACTTAACAGAACACCATGGGGGAAGGGAAGGGGGAAAATATAGTTACAAACAGAGAGGGAGGGATGCAAACCATAAGAGACTCAAATACAGAGAACAAACTGAGGGTTGATGGGGGCGGGGAGAGGGGAAAATGGGTGATGGACATTGAGGAGTGCACCTGTTGGGATGAGCACTGGGTGTTGTGTGTAAGTGATGAACCATGGGAACCTACCCCCAAAACCAAGAGCACACTTTATACGCTGTATGTTAGTCAATTTGACAATAAATTCCATTAAAAAGTAGGGTATCAGAATGGATAAAAAACAAGATCCATCTACATGCTACCTAAAAGAAACTCATTTTAGACCTACCTAAAGAAACCTTCAGATTGAAAGGGAGGGGATGGAGAACCATCTATCATGCTAATGGACATCAAAAGAAAGCCAGAGTAGCCATACATATATCAGACAAACTAGATTTTAAAATAAAGACTGTAACAAGAGATGAGGAAGGGTATTATATCATAATTGGGGGGGTCTATCCATCAGGAAGATCTAACATTTGTAAACATTTAATGCTTCCACTTGAAAGACCCAAATATATAAATCAATTAAAAACAAACATAAAGAAATTCATCAATAATAATACAATAATAGTAGGGGACTTTAATAACCCAATTATAGCAATGGACAGGTCATCTATGGACCAGATAAACTTAACAAATATATTCAGAACATTTCATCCTAAAGCAGGAAAACACATTCTTCTCATGGAGAATGCACATGGAACATTCTCCAGAATAGATCACTACTGGGTCATAAATCATCCCTCAAGAGGCACAAAAAGATCGAGATCATACTATGCATATTTTCAGATCACAATGCTATGAAACTTGAAGAAAAAATGTGGAAAGCCCTCAAATACATGGAGGTTAAAGAATATCCTATTAAAGAATGAAGGGTTAACCAGAAAATTAAAGAAGAAATTTAAAAATACATGGAAGAAAATGAAAATGAAAACCTGATAGTCCAAACCGTTTGGATTGCAGGAAAGGAAGTCCTAAAAGGAAACTACATTGCAATTTAGGCCTATCTCAAGAAGCAATACAGGTACCAAATACACAATTTACCTTATACCTAAAGGAGCTAGAAAAGGAACAGCAAATAAAGTCTAAAGCCAGCCAGAAGAAGATTAGAGTAGAGATAAATAATACAGAAACAAACAAACAAACAAACAAACAAACAAACAAACAAACAAACAGTAGAACAGATCAATGAAAGTAAAAGCTGGCTTTTTGAAAGAATAAACAAAATTGATAACCCCCCAGCAAGACTTTCAAAAAGAAAAAAGACACAAATAGATAAGATCACAAATGAAAGAGGAGAGATAACAACCAACACCACAGAAATACAAACAATTATAGGAGAATAGTATGAAAAATTATATTCCAACACACTGGACAATCTGGAAGAAATGGACAAATTCCTAGGAACTCACAAACTACCAACACTGAAACCATAAGAAATAGAAAATTAGAACAGACCCATAACCAGCAAAGAAACACAATTAGTAATAAAAAATCTCCCAAGAAACAAGAGTCTTGGGCCAGATCATTTCCTAGGGGAGTTCTACCAGACATT